TGCATCTTATAACATAATATATGAAAAGAAAATAATTAAAAATACATGAGAAATTATTGTTAAGAGAGATAAGCTTGTTCGTTAACTGTTGTTTTGGTTGTTTGATTTTGTGTGCGAGTGTGTTTTCGTAAACTTCAATCTTCCATAAAGGAATTTGGTGTTGAAGATAGATCTTCGGTGGTATCTGCTGAATTTATTAATTTCATTTAATGTGTATAGATTCAGACATGGAACAGTTTGACATGATAGCCATGATATGCATGGTCTCTTGTCAATAAACAAGATTTTTTCTACGTTGGCGGCCAGTATTTCAAGGAGGAAATATTCAGTTGGCATAATAAAGATACTACGAAAATGGTTCAATGCAAAAACTAAAAGTCTAACAGCAATGCCAGTTCTTTCTATTTTAGTTTCCTATTATTAATCTGTAAATATAAAAAAGAAGATGTGGTATGATTGCCTATGAGACAACTCTCCACAAGAGACCAAATGACACAGAAATTAACAACTACAAGACATTCTTACTTTTAATCACGGTTTTTTAATCACAAGTTTTCGTTCGACGGTGTGGGTGTATTTTTATACTTCTTTTACTATTCGTGTGCGAATTTGTTGAATATTTTTAGGGTCACGAAAAATTCAATGTACGTTGGCATTTAACACTGAATTGGTACACATGTACTGTAAAAAAACAGATAAGTACAAAGGTAGCAATGTTTAGTGTCTCATATGGACGACAGATGGCTGATTATGGAATCATGCAAATAACTGCTCCCACAGGAAACTTATTCTTGTTTGTCTCATCATCAAACGACTCCATTCAAATATATAGGATCATAAGAAATCTCCCTGTCTAAATCAGAGTGAGATTTACCAATGATTAATCGTTTCATCCAAATTAGGAAGAACGTAACATTCAAATTTCCCAGTCTGAAATCAGAGACACCTCTCTATACAAGACGGCAAATATAGTTAGAAACGTTAATGCATAGATATTTTAACATTTGAATTAGTCGAATTTTAGTATACAGATTTGATTGAATGATAGTTGTTTGCTCAACACAAATTTAATACATATATCAATCTCGTAAATTCCCGTGGACACACGTGAACTTGGCTGATTTCATATAGCCGTAAAGTATAATGGCCAATCTCTGCAGTATAGGTCTCTGCTCAACATCAAGTGACAAAAATTTCATATTTTTCTTGCAACATACATCTATAGACCCATGACAGAGCTGTTTCAAAGGTTCTGTAACGTTTTGGGAGATCATTGCACTCTCCCTGTATCATGGTTAAGCTCCAATTCCGACTGTACGTGGCTGCGTATTTAAACATCCTGCACAGTTTAACGGCATGTGGTTAATGTTGAATATGATCTAGTATAGATTTCGTATCGGTACACCCAGGAATCATCATTTCCGTCTTTAAACATTTAAATTTAAACAAAAATAAACATGGATGTTTCTCCTTCTTTATGTGAACATATATTCAAATAAGGTAGCAATGGCATATGTAGAATTTGAAATAGCATCCTGAAACAACTTTGTGCACAAATAAGGGTCTTTTTAAGTAACATTGAGCTAAACCTTGGACAAAGTAAACTATAGGGATTTTCTCCTCATAATATGTGATCATATCCAAGTAAACTTGCAATCGCATATGTAATATTTGCTTAAGCATTTGGAAACCACTTGTTGGCACAAATTTCAGTCTATTTTTATTAAATATGACCTTGACCTTGGACATAATGGCCTGAAAGTCACTTGAGATAGCCCTCCCATTATATGTGACCATATACCAAAGTAAGTTTGCTACCCATATGTAGTATTTTATTTAACCTCCGGAAACAACTTTTCTGCACAAATTTCAGTCCATTTGTAGTAACTGTAATCTTGACCTTTGACCTGGTGACCACAAAATGAATAGCGGTCTTCCTCTGATTATATGTGATCATATTGCCATAAAAGGTTGCAATCGGATAAAAGAATTTGAGTTATCATTCGGAAACGAAAATGACTGACTGATGGACAGACCTACTGATACTTGGTAGCGTAGGGTATAACAAAAAAATATTGTGTAGATAGTATGAATCTTTGGCGTTAGTTATTTGCAAACGAAATGGATTATGAAAATTTTTATGTAAACGTTAATTGCCGACTGAAAAGTAATTTGTAGTAGAGGTTGGAGAAAATTATACAAATATTCAACGAAATTTGTATCCGAGAACGACCTGAAGAAGGAAGTAAAATACACAAAAGATGAATCGAAGTTAGAATGTCATTAAGACGAAGGCGGCAAAGTGTTAGTCGGAAGAAAAAAAATGTCATATATCAAAATACAATTTCCAAATGAAATGAAATAAGCATGCATAGAACTATTGCGACATTTCCATTACATACTGAGCTGATAATACCCATCGGGACTAACAGTCCATCAGCAGTGTATACATATATGACGATGATCTTCCGTAAACAAGTAGATAACATAATGACGGTATATTATATATTAAAAAAGTTAACAAGTTTTAGATGTATATCTCTAGATAAAACTAGCATAATATTATTGAATTCCATTGGTGCAAAAAATTCTACATGATTATACACAGAACCTGCGTTGATGAACAGTTTTTCGACTTTTATGCAGAATTCACTCATTTATTACTCCTTAAATGAACACCAATAATGGGATAAAGTCATAGAAGAGAAGATTGATGCTACACATTCCAAACCTTGGGGCAGTTGCTACACATTCCATACCTTGGGGCAGTTTTACTTTTGATTGGTTCGATACGCTCAATTGGTCTGATGAACAAAAAGTATAACCTTTCAATTTAATTCCAAAAGTTTTCCATGATTTTGTACTAGTATATTTTCTGTCGATATAAAATTCTTACTTAAACTTTGTTAAAAAAAAATATGGTTAAAAATGAGAACTACGGGCTTTAGCAATCCGAGTCATTCCCAAAACGACACTGCAGAAATGTGAAATATGAACCTGGAACATTATTGGGAAGTATTATGATATGAACACAGATTATTAATTTGACCATGCAATATGACAACGCTCTGTTCTAATTTCTGTTTTGAGGATCATGGTTTTTGTCAAATTGATACTCTTTTTAAAAAAAAATGAGAGAAAATGTCATTGATATACGGTAGATTCTTCTTATTCATTTTAACAAGAAGTAGAACGGAACGTTGAGGTCCTTTTTAGCGAAGCTGGAACACATGATATGCTACCGTGTATTTCAATCAGATTGAACCGTGAGTAACATGACGTGTAATGTTGCTATTCCGAAATCGAACCGTGTATAATTATTCTTGTATTTTTTTGTAATTAAGTATTTGTCAAACGATAATTCAAAGCAAACTTCAAAATTGTCTTTCATCCGTATAAAAAGAGGGGGTATAACTATTTAAAATGTGTAAATGTTATTCGCGTGGTTAAACAATATTCGAAATGAACGCATGTCTTACGTACAGAATAAGATAAAAAGAATTACCTCACATACCGTATTGTGCAGCAGACCAGACAAACTACCAATACCCGACTTATCCATGAAAAAAGACATACAAACAAGTTCAAACCACAATGGGACAACACATGGTCTTGGTAGCCAGACTTGGAACAGCCACACAATGTCATTGGGTTAAACTATTTTTATGTGCGCGACCCCCTTTTAAATTATAGTAATAGTTTTTACAGACAATATGTCGTAAAAGAAGAAAAAACACACAATTAAAAACTTTATAGTCCAACTACATGCAGGATGAAAACTTACTTGAACGAAAAAATAAGATGGCACTCACTCGGGAAAGTCGGGTCAAAAGTGCTTGCTACTATGGGGTTGATATAGAATAATATCGCACCCATGAAAAGAAAAAGAACAACCATTTAATAGTAAAGTTTAATTAAATTCAGCAGTATTATTTGTAAGAGTCCAGTAAATTTTTAAGACTATAAGACAATTGAAAGAAAGAACAATTTCAATGGAATCTGTTACTATATGACGTCTGTAGCACTTGCTATTGAAAGATGTGATAACTATTCTATTTCGAATCTAGATATATATATTGTTCAATGTTTAATTTCTATTAAAGACATTAGCTTAGAAGGTAGTGAGAGAAATTACGTCTACTATTATTTTTTACGAGAAAAAGTATATTTACAGGTTTCAGATTTTGATAACGATTGTAAATGTTTTTTGAGAATCGTCAAAATGTCTGCGATATTTGATACTAACATTGCCATTAATTTAAATAAACTTATTCTTATAAAAAAACTAGCAGACCTTTAAATGTGCAAATTATCAAGGCAGATCATATATTAAATGATTTCTATTGAATCAGCGAAAAATGTGAACATGTCACGATTTCACTATTAAAATAGCATGCGGAATTCTACTGAAATACAGTTAGGACCTAGCAAATGTATAATAATTTGTTTCACGAATTTGTTTCAATTCGGTGAAGTATAGGAGTAGACTTAAAAGGGAAGCAAACGATTGAAAGCGACAAGCCAAATAGAGAAAAAATTCACACGCCTCTTTGCTGTACCTATTGTTGATCATGTCGTGTGACAAATTGCATGAGTGACAGTTATTAACTGCCTTAAAAGAAACAACATCCCACACCAACTAAAAAATATGAAAAATATTCAATATGAACAATATATTATCTTGGATTATTTACTTTCTGAATTTTCATTCAAGCAGGTTATCTACAACTGAAAATGATAAATTTAATAAACCAGTGAATCTTTCTTTCAAATAATGCATTAGGTAAAGATCTTATATCAGTCCATTATTTAAAATTAACAAAAATCTACAACGAAATGATGTAAAATCAAATAAAAGCAATTGAAAATGAAATAAATCATAACAGCAAAAATAATGAAAATACGGTAAATCATTATTTATTTACACTCAATTTGAGGTTTGAAATCAAATTAAAAAAAAAACAGCGTCAGAAATTAATATTGAATTAATATATTTTTACCTGAATCTGAATTACAAACTGCTTCCAATAAACAAATGTACAGATGAATTATTATTCCAATAAAATGAGAAGTCATGTTTTTCCTCCATGTAGTTGTCGCTAGTTCCGTGATTGCTGAAACTGACTTCGTCCACTGGACCAGAAGCTTATAATTACGTGAATTAAGTATAATTTCCTTTGCGCCCTGATCGTTAATAGACAAACGTAGATCGCAATAGCAATAGTTCAATAGAATTATTTTACGCTGCTATCGTAGTAGATGATTATTTCGTGAATAGAGAAGTTAATACGATCTCTAATTATATAAGAAAAAGGTCGAGATTCTGTCTTTTATTCAAAACATCTGATTGCATTTTAAAATTAACCAAAATCGTTGAAAATCAATATGGCTTATATATGTTCTGTTGTGCTTTGTGGTGTAAAAACATGGTTGAATTAGTTAGTACATGCAGAAAAAGGAGTTTAGTTTAGCAATGGAATTGCAAAAAGTAGCTATCTAGGGATTCAAATTTAATGACATGTTTGTATAAATTAATCAATTGTCAAGATTACCGCCAGAATCTTCTGCTTTATGGGGTTTTAACGTAACTACAACAAAAAGGACAAAAATCACCATTATATGAAATACCTGAAATTCTTAAAAAAAAAGACATAACCATATGATTAAAGAATTAAAACAACATTAGAGCCCACCGCTTTACCTATTTACAGTTTCAGTTATCTATTATGGGTTCTGCAAAAAAATAGTAAAAACCACCTTTCCAGGACAACAACTCCTATATAGTTGAATTTACGATTTCGGCGATGTTGATTTGTATTGTAGATCTTATTTTGCAGAACATTTTTTGCATTTAACAATTTCTATAAAATTTTCTGGAACAGAGAATAAATGGGTAAAACCCGTCCTTTTAGGGGAATAACTCATATGACGGGTAAATTGACGATTTACGGTACATTTTAACGTACTTGTAGATCTTATCTTGCTGAACAATTTTACTCTGGATCTACTATTATAGTTTCCGCAAAAAGTGCAAAGAAAGTAAACTTAATCATTCAAATGTAATAACTCAGATGAGGGACCATAAGGGGTCAATTGACGATTTCTAGCATTTTGACTTATTTGTAGATCTTGTTGTTCTGGTCATTTGTACTGTTTAAATTTCTCTCTATCTGTATAGTTTTCAAGGTACCAAAACCCTCGAAATTTGCAAACATTTTACATTTTAGGGGCAATAACTTCAAAATTGATTTTTTCTGAAAATTACATAGGATATTGACCTTGACCTATTAATAATGTTTATTCTGTCAGTTTTCCTTTCACTGCTGTAATTTTAGAGATATAAGCCAAAAACTGCATTGTACTCCAATGTTCTGTTTTAGCAACGCAGGCCATGTTTGGCGCTGAATCAAATCCCCGGTTAAAATGTTTAAATTAGTTAGGAACATTTAGGTAAAGTTTGGTAACATTTGGCCCAATATAATTTATATATATATCTCTGATTTCATTATCCTCATATGAATTATACGAGCACGCGATTTGTTATTATAGATCAGAATTTTAATCAGATTTTATTTGGCCTAGTAGTTTCAGAAAAGAAGATTTTAAAAACAAAGTTTACGATTACGGACAGACGACGCACGCCAAGTGATTGCAACAGCTCACTTTGCCTTTGAAGTCCACGCATGCGAGCTTACAAAATAGTGCTGGCTTCAATAAACGGGATGAAATAACGTCGAAAAAATAATAAATAATTGCTTTCTAAATGCACATTGCCATGCTAATATTACAGAACAAAGACATGAACATAATTATATCATTTGTCATTATGAAATTCTTGTTGCTGAAATTGCAAGATAATGAGAGATTCCTCATTTTGTCGTATTCATTTACAAACTTAGCAATTTTTCAGACTTTCCGGGATTAGTACCATAATTTATATTTACAGTGCTACGGTAATGGTGTTAAATGGTATGTGCAGACTCCAACTTTACAGACAACTTTGAAACTGACAAAATATCTATTAGTAATAGTGCAACTTGCTTTGGCAAACTAGACTTTGATCCCAAACGTACCTTCAGATTTGATGAATATACACATTTAATGTATTTGACCTCCAAACTGTTGATAGAGGTTATTTCTAAAAACACTTGTCGCCATCGATATCGGCATTACACGTGCACAAACAAATTCATTTGATTTTGAGTGGTTCATAATATTATTGTTTTAAAATTTCGTCGAATTATTGGGCTGAAACCTAGCTCGAATTTGTCAATTTTCCTAAAGAAGAAACATATCTCCATAACGGCTCAACATTTGTTAATAATTTATAAAAATCTCTCTTTTGTGACTGGGTCGGGGCTGTCTGACATTGGGCACAAGATACATTAACGTTCTAGGTTTAGGTCGAACATTTACCTCTTTTTCAGTTAAGGAATTGGTCAATAAATTCCCATAAACAAGATTAGGAAATGTCTACAAATTGTATTTTTAATACCCCTATCAGAATATGTTGTAGATTAAATTCGTGTTATAAGCGCCCGTCCTATTGGTATCCAAAACTAGAGGCTCTATGGAGCTTAATGTATGGCTCATCTGGCATTTTCACATAAAATGCAACAAGAATATTTGTGTTGGATAAAATTGTGTGAACCAAAATCTTGTCTTGTTGATAATTTTTGTTGGACCGAGTTTCTGTATACCCTTTATAAGTTTTCAAGAAATTGTGATTTAGGAACATGATTGATGATATCATTTCTGTTGCCTTATTTGTAGATCTTGCTGCTGATCAGTCTTGTTGTTCAAAATTTGTTGGACTACTAATGAGGGTCTCGCACGGTCGGCTCATTGTTTCGCTCTATCTAAATTATAGATATAGATGTATTGAATTTTCTAGATATTAGGTGGTAAAAAAATAACCATCAATTCAAAACTCTTTTGTTGTCATTTCCCAAGTATTTGTAGATCTTATTTTGCTGAACGTTTTTGAAATTTAATAGAGTTCTCAATCTACTAGTCAAGAGTTTCACAATAAAAGCGCAAAAATGGGTAAAAATCGTAATTGGAGGGCAATAGCTCCTAAAAGGAGTACACTGATGATTTCAGTCATTTTGAGTAAATATCTTTTTTGCTGACCACTTGTGCTGTTTGGAGTTTCCGTCTCTATCATGGTTTCTGCAAACAAATTCCCACAAAAATGAATAAAGCGTCATCCAAGGACAACAATTTCTATAAGGAGTCAACAGATTGTATTTGTAAATCTTATTTTGCTGATTATTTGTGTTATTTAGAGTCTCTTCCTAGCTACTCTATGATTTGGCCAAAAGCCCCTAAATTAGTAAAATCAAGGATTTCTATAATATTTAATTTCTTTGTGGCCTTTTTGAATCATTGTTATTATTTACATGCAGTTTCTATTGTAACAAAACAAAATAATAAAAATGGGTAAAAATCTCTATTCAAGAGTACCAACTCATATAAAGAGTCGACTTATGACTTCAGTCATGTAGACATATTTGTAAATCTTATATTGAGGATCAGTTTTGCCATTTATATCTCCTGTCTTCTATAGTTTTTGCTAAACCAAATTGGGTAAAATTCGTCATTCAATGGTAATTTAATACTAGTAACCATGATAACTGCCATAAGCAGTAATGTGGTGTTTTGGCCATGTTGACTTAATTGTAGATCTTATTTTGCAATTCATTTTTGTTATTCACAGTTTCGCTTTATCTTTTTTTATTTTCCGAAAAACACAAAACAATGGGTAAAACTCGTCATTCAAGGTCAATAATTCTCATATAATTTGTAGATCATCATCGACTGATCATTTCTGTTTACTACTATAGTTTTCACACAAAAACAAGCATGATGAAATTCGTCATTAAAGGCCAACAAATATAAGTAGGACGACTAATTTTTCGGTCATTTTGACTTATCATATTAAGTTGATCTTATTTTATTGATCATTTTTGCTATTTGCAGTTTCTCTCTTATCTACTATAATAGTTTCTACGAAAAAAACAACTAGAGGCTCTCAAGAGCCTGTGTCGCTCACCTAATTCTACTTTGGTTTTGGAAATCATGTAAAAATAGATTAAAATCATAACATATACCCTAATAATGAGTGAGGCCAAATTTGGTTTAATATTGGTCCTGTAATTTAATAAAAAATCCTGGTGGCCATCTTGAACAGTAAATCGGCAACAAAGTAGCAACACTTCATCAGCACCTCATAAGAAACATTTATGCCATGTTTTGGTTTCATTCCATTCAGTGCACCTCTAGAAGAAGCATTTGTATGTATTTCCCATAGGGTCTTATGTTAAAGGAAGTCCCCCATTGGCAGCCATCATGGATTATGGATCAGCTTCAAAGTAACAAAATTTAGTCAGCACCTCATAAGGAACATTCATGCCATGTTTGGTTTCAATCCATTCAGTATGTGGTTCTCTAAAAGAAGATATTTGTATGTATTGTCCATAGGGTCCTTTGTTAAACATTGTCCCCATCTGGCGGCCATCATGGATGAAGGATCAGCTTCAAAGTAACAACACTTGGTCAGCACCTCATAAGGAACATGCATGCCATGTTTGGTTTCATTCCATTCAATGGTTCTCTAAAAGAAAACATTTGTATGTATTTCTCATAGGGTCCTATGTTAAACTAAGTCCTCCGCTGGCGGCCATCTTAGATTATGGATCTGCTTCATAGTAACAACACTTGGTCAGCACCTCATTAGGAACATTCATGCCATGTTTGGTTTCATTGCATTCAGTGGTTCTCTAAAAGAAGACATTTGTATGTATTTCCCATAGGCTCCTATGTTAAACTAAGTCCCCCGCTGGCGGCCATCTTGGATGATGGATCAGCTTCAAAGTAACAACACTTGGTCAACACCTGTCAACACCTCATAAGGAACATTCATGCCATGTTTGGTTTCATTCCATTCGGTGGTTCTCTAAAAGAAGACATTTGTATGTATTTCTCATAGGGTCCCATGTTAAACTAAGTCCCCTGATGGCGGCCATCTTGGATTATGGATCGGCTTAAAAGTAACAACACTCGGTCAGCACCTCATAAGGAACATTCATACCATGTTTGGTTTCATTCCATTCAGTAGTTCTCTAAAAGAAGACATTTGTATGTATTTCCAATAGGGTCCAATGTTAAACTAAGTCCCCCGCTGGTGGCCATCTTGGATAATGGATCAGCTTCAAAGTAACAACACATGGTCAGCACCTCATAAGGAACACTCATGCCATGTTTGGTTTCATTCCATTCAGTAGTTCTTTAAAAGAAGACATTTGTATGTATTTCCCATAGGGTCCTATGTTAAACTAAGTCCCCCGCTTGCGGCCATCTTGGATGATGGATCATCTACAAAGTAACAACACTTGGTCAACACCTCATAAGGAACATTCATGCCATGTTTGGTTTCATTCCATTAAGTGGTTCTCTAGAAGAAGTTCAAAATGTAAAAAGTTAACGACGACGACGGACGACGCCGGACGACGGACGCCAAGTAATGAGAAAAGCTCACTTGGCCCTTCGGGCCAGGTGAACTAAAAAAGGGGAAAACCTTATTTTTTAGAGAAACAACTCCTGTAAGGAGTCAACTGACGATTTCGTCTTATTTTCGGTGATAATTTTTGTTACTTACGAAGATAATGATGTGATTGTTTTTTAAATTCATACAAAGAAATACTAAATCCTTGGAAGTAAAATGAAATATACTTCCATGGTCGGACGGTCTGTTGTTATTTAGTAAGTAGTGTTTGACGACCTTGACTACCAATGAGGGTCTCGCACGTTCTGTAATTTTGATTTTTACTGTTACGGGCGTTTTTATTTAGTAAGTAGTGTTTAACGACCCTGAATATCCATGAGGGTCTCGCATCTGAATGTGTAGGTCATCTTTGACTGATCATTTCTGTTGACTACTATAGTTTTCACACAAAAACAAACCGGATGAAATTCGTCATTCAAGGCTAATAACCCCTATAATTATGATTATTTCGGTCATTTTGACTATTTTTTTTTAATCTTATTTTGTTATTTACGGTTTCTCTTCATGTACATTTACTAGTTTCCGCAATAAAATGGGTAAAATCGTTTTGCAAGGCCAATAAGTCATTAGGAGGCGCCATAATTATTTCGACCATGTTCACTGATTGTAGGTCTTTTTTTGTTAATAATTTTTGCAACAGAAAGAGATACACATCGTCAGCCGGTTACAGATATGAGTTCCAATAAAGAGTTTTCTTACAATTTGATAAACGGGAATAGTAGGTAGATCTTCACATTTTGAACCTTTCTGCTTCAAGATTTTTTATCTATCTATAATTGATTGAAGATAACATACAACTCTTGCATTTACCCCTCAGTTTTATTTTTATCCGTGGTTCCAATTGGCCCAGTACTTTCAGAGGAGAAGATTTTAAAGAAATCAATAGACGAACGGGACGCCAAACGACCACAACAGCTCAAATGGCCTTTTAAGTCAGATGAGCTTAAAAGTTCAATTCCAAAGGTATTGCAGTTCAGGAGATTATCATTGGCACGTTTTCTTTAATTCAGAAAAGTTACAATTTCAGATTCTGATTGCCAGTATTAAGCTTAGTCTGCCGGGGAATAGATCAAAAAGTCAACAACGAGTCTAACCCTCCCAAAATCTAAATATAATACATTGTAGTCTAGATTATTGTAATCTGGACTTCTTGTACAGTTCAGTTTCTTTAATGTTCTTCAATTAATAGTGGAGCACTACCCAAGGGTATCGTGTTGATAAAAAAGTAAACTTAGTTCAAAAAAAAAAAAAAAAAAATACCCCCACCCATTTAAGAGAAAAATGCCTATCTAATCTTCAAATAGATTATAATTTTAAAAGTTATCGTACTGAAAAGTTCAAACTGTACAATATTTAAAAGTGTTTGGATATAGTACGTATATCAGAACGAAACCTATAAAATTAAATAATTATAAAATTTGAGTTATTCGTGCTTACCAAAACTATTTACCGGTTAAAATTCTTTTACAGAACGTCTGTTTTGAAATATCTTCTTCAAAGAATATTCAAGTTAGGTTTCACTGGTTTGCCCATTGCCCGTTAAGTTCCTTTAAATATGACCATAAGGAATGATCATTGTCGAGGCCAGGGGTATCATGACCTTAATGTGGTTGCGTTTAAATGTTTAACTAGTTTCATTTTCTTCCTTGCCACTTTATATACTACAGTTAAGCAATGTGATTAAAAAATTCCTTACATAATATCAAGACAAGAGTTGACAATAAAATATCTCTTTTGCTGCAATATTGGATATTTTTAAGGGTAATGAATGTACACTCAATCTGAGGCAATCTTACTGGCTTAATGAAATCTGTCATGGGCATATTCTAATTTAAATGTAATGCATTCACATTATAAATAGTTTCGACCTATCAGGTATAATTGTTTTTCTTCACGACATACCTCATTCAAAAACTGAAATGACCAGATTATGAAAATGTGGTAAATAAATACATGAAATATGCCAGACTGACATATACTCCTCGCTGTCAATCCACATATCTTATATGTATAGTGCTTTGTGTTGATCTGACTAGTCAAGCCTTTTTTGAATGTGCCCGTTTCAAGTCAGGAGCCTGTAATTCAGAGGTTATTGTTTGTTGCTGTATATCATATTTGTTTTTCGGTTTAATGTTTTTTTTAGCATTTTTTACTAAGTTACTCGCCAAAAAAGCCTAGTCCACATTAAATAGTGTAATATGTACAAACAGTGTGGCTCCATTATTATCAAGTACAATCTGTAACATTGGGGGATAGGAAAACGGGGGGGGGGGGGGGGATTGGTTGGCTGGCAACCGTGTATACAGTTTTGTAAACATAACAATTCTGTTGAGGCACAGAATTTTTCTTATTTTCCGTTTTACATCAGTGGTGTTTTTTGCTGGTCAAAGTGCCATAACTCAGACCTTAATAACCATTAAGTAAAACCTGCATGTTGTTTACTGCTATTGTTGTTGTGCTTTTTGTTATTGGTAACAAATAGAAAATATTGAAACAAAATTATCCTAACGTCCTGAATGGCTCATCTGGCAAAAACGGATTTGTTTTACTGTGCGTATTGCTATGTGTTTCTTTATTCTACATTGGCTAGAGGTATAGGGGGAGGGTTGAGATCTCACAAAACATGTTTAACTCCGCCGCATTTTTGCGCCTGTCCCAAGTCAGGAGCCTCTGGCCTTTGTTAGTCTAGTATGTTTTTTAATTTTAGTTCATTTATATGTTTTGGAGTTAAGTGTGACGTCCATTTTCACTGAACTAGCACACAATTTGAGTTAGGAACCAGCTGAGGACCACCTCCGGGTGCAGGATTTTCTCGCTGCATTGAAGACCCATTGATGGCCTTCTGCTGTTGTCTGCTCTTTGGTCGGGTTGTTGTCTCTTTGACATATTCCTCATTTCCATTCTCAATTTTAAGTATCAACAAACCAATTACAGCTAATATGGATTTGCTCATTTCCACCCTCCCACAGTTGGGAGTAGGCAAAACGTCTAGACGGTCCCATTCATTCCGCCCATACTTTGAAGAGGACACAAATTTCTTTTTTTCATCATAAGGATTGAACATACAATACCTAAAATAAACAAATCAACCTGTGACAAATCTGATTCTATTGGTACCTAGTTCATTAAAATCCAACCAGAAATTACCTCACAAATTTTTTTTGTTAAAAAGGTAGTTTTTAATGATATATATGGACTTTGTTTACTTGAGGGGACCCAACCCATACAGGGCTATACTAAATCAACACAAAAACTTACCCTTACCCAACTTTTACTTCAGGGGTCCTAAACTATAGAGATATATCAAAATATTTATATTTCATAAATACAAACTCATGGAAACAAATGCTCTGTATCAACTTTTTAAAATAGCTGTCAAAAATACAAAGTTCCCCTAAGAAACGTATGTGCTTTGTGTTATTCATTGTTCCATGACAAGGTTATTGTGCCATATGGTAATGCAACTGATAATTTTTTATTACTTTTACTTATAATTATTGACTAACAATCAACAAGCAATACAAAACACCCAGACAGATTTCAAGAGATGAATCTATGAATTGCAGTGTTATAATGTGCTACACTAAAATCTTGAATTTTAAGTAGGATTATCCTCTCTTTGCATACAAATTCTATGTTAAATGAGACGTTATTTTTGCTGTGAAGTATATTGATTTAAGAACTTACAACTTCTAAAACAAACAATATCAAATAAAAATCTTTTCTATTTTGTAGTCAAGTGTTTGGTCTTAATTTCAGGTGATTTAGTCTCTTATGCAATGTACCTAATTCATGTGATTTTCATTTGGAGTTCATAATTTTCTTTTTAGTTATCTTATATTAGCACTGTAGGTCTATATATTAGGAGGGGTGAGATAAATTTTTCATGACTATGAGTTTACCACCTGAAAGTAAATGACCGAGTATACATGTATAAACTTTCTGTCATTAAGTTTCTATTTATGCCTGTTAGTCTACATTTAGAGAATGTGATTAAAGTCTTTATCTACTTTTCTTTTTACAAACATACATATAAATGCATGTACATCTTGACTTTTTCAATAAATATATCTTCAAACATCTTAACCATCAAGTCATTTCATTTTCGTGTAAACTCAAAAACTATAGATAAAGGGACACAACTCCTTTTCATTTTCGTAAATTCATTGATGGATATATATACAAACACATTTTATAAAGTGAGAAATTTGTGTGAGGGTTTTATTTTGGCGATAAAGATATAAGGTAAAAATATCACCTCCCATAAATTGCATCTTAAAGAGAGATAAGAATCAGGAACTCGAAAGTAAAACCCCAGGAACAGATTTCTTTCTAGAAAGTTTGATACCTAAAAACTGCAAAAATAAACCATTTAAAACAGTATATCAACCATGAACAATTTACTTATACAAAATCCATGTCATTCTTTAAAGGACATCAAGGTTTCCTTATTAGTTTTCTTAACAAAGATTATCCACATTATGGCCACATGTGACAAATCAATACAAAAAAAACACGGTAATAATGACAATGTTTATTCATACATATAAAAACACATTAAATCTGAATCATCAGAAAAATTTAAATGTTTTACAAAAACCCTTATCACATAGCATTAGGCAGTCCGATTTAACTATTGCAAAAGTATTGACTTTTAGAAAAACAGTTTACGTAATACTTTTACCTACATTCTATGTATTTGATGATGAAGAACATATAACAATACATCAACTTTACAAATGCACCATTAAAACCTCTGTACAAAATTACAAAGTTAGCAATCAGATCTTATTATTCAGACATAATTTTAAAAGATACCATATAACTTAGCTACAAATGTATATGCTCATAACTACATGTATGCCACCTGATGGGAGGGGTGGATATACCCTTTATTTTTATAGCCCAAAAGACAGAAATGCCCCCCTAAAAAAGATTAAGCAATATAATGAATATATGAATTATTAATTAAACCTAATTCCTTTCAATTTTAAACCATTAATCTAAAAAATATATGTGTATATGACATTTTTCTGTGTATATTTGGTTTGATAATTGTACAGTACACACAAGATGACTCATGTAAAATTAACTCTTGCTAGTGTTGGGTGAATCACAGTGAAATAAGGTGATTGTAAGTGATAGAGGTCAAAATACTATCATTCATGTCTGTTTCAATATCTATTTCAGAGTGAATCATTCACGATCACCAGCATTCAGTGAATTTTCACTGAACCATACTGTACATTCAGAGAGAATATACAAAATAAACATGCAAATGACACGATCATAACACTAGGACAAAATGATAATTAATGCAAATGATTAATAAAAAAAAATATCATCAGTTGTTCACAATGACTTGTACTTCAGCCTTTTGTTTTACTTTCCTCCTGTAGCACCTTGTTCACTACCACCTTCCCCACCACCTGCTTTCTTTTCCTGTTTTAGCCTCATTATCTCTGCATCCCTATAAAAAAACAGCAAGATTGTAATTATCAATGTGACCACTGAAAGGTAAAGATCTCTCTCATTTTGTAAAGTGAACTTAAATTAAGCATTAAATTGTATTTTGCAATGACATTATATGAAAGCAATATTTTGAATTGATGTTATTTTCCTTTGTTCATAATTGTACATTAGTAGTTGAAACTATATCTAGAACATGTAGATTTGTAGACCATGCAACACTTATGGAATTCTTAATAAAAAGTTTTCTTAAAGTACATGTATGGTCATACACACACGTATAAATATACATCATTCTATAACTTGAATATACATCCATGACATCTGAATATACAATGTATATTATCAATAAATTGCATGACAATGGCTTGATAGAATCTAAATAATGTTCATGTCACTGAACTATGCTGTTTGAACTCTCAAAGGTGAAGATATAGCTATTAAGCCTGTGACATAAAAGTTTTGATTGCATTTGGTGCTATCTTTACCCTAAAAAGAATCAACTTACTAATACTCTTGAAAACATGTACAAAGTACACGTAAATAGATTAGGCCAAACATAATAAAATGTTTCCTTCCTAACATTGAAAGGTGGGTAGGATGGAAATATCTTTTTTTAAATATAGTTTTCAGATCCTTGTATTATTTAAACCATTTTACCAGATAGATATTCTACCATTTTGTAATTATCAAAGAACAAAGTGACAATGTTTATTACATTTTGATCAACTCTTTTTCATACTTTGATGAAATAACAACTGATATGTTAGTGATAATTTCTTGAAGAAATCATAAGAAATAAGTTGGGATCGGCTGTGAAACCCTTAACACAAATCATTTTTTTACGCCGTTATGTAAAAAAACAATGAAGTAACGTCAGGGTATAAATTAATCAACAGTTAATTTGCACTTCATCCACTGTAATTATGGTTATACAATGTATTTCATCACTGATCATTAAAAAAGTGCATTATTTTACTGCACATCTAGGGTTTCAAATTAAATTAGCTGTCACATTCCATTTTTGGATGCACACCATTTCGCTGGTGATTAGCTTCACCCCTCTTCCCTTTTTCATAATTTTCCAACAAATCAATAATATCAAGTACAAAAATGTATGCTGTAACAAAATATTCTTTTAATATTTAATTTGACAAAAGAATAGTTATATTGGAATTGATCACTTGAATTTCATCACTTTGACTTAACGTTTTAATTTGTCACAAGACCGATCGTCATAACAGATACAGGTTGGAAATTCAAGAGTGGTGGATAAGTTAGCATTTTCTATATCTAAATATTATCTTTTTAAATTTAAAGTACATTTAGTTGCCCCTTCCAACAGTTGACAAAATGGTTGAAGCAGACTTCTGGACATCCAATAATTAGATCTTATTATCTTTCAAAACTTAACTTTAAAGCATTTTCTTTCATAGTTTTAAGATGAAATCGTTAGTTTTCGGTTGAACGTAAGTTGTATGGTATAGTGTACAATGTACATGTAACATCTTTGATCATTCTACCTACCTATGGCGGCGTTCATCTAAAGTTAATCCTTTATTGGCACCCTTCTCTGAACTCTTCTTTTGTTTTTGCAGATCTTGCTGTTTTTTTGCAGCTTTTGCACGGGCAAGATCTCTCTGATTTCCTCCTAAAATTCATAATCGCAGTGCAAAGTTATAAATATACATGTATATAATCTTCTTCAAACGGTCTCCACTTGAATTGTTAATAAAGAATTAGAGAAATGGTAGTGAAATAATAAGTAACAATGGACTGGTCAAGCATTGGGATTGGATTATAAATGCAATTAATTACAAAAATCTGTACAAAAAAAAAATCAAGTTCATAATCAAGATTGCAGAAAAACAAATGCATTGGTCAAAATGATCGTTACTTCTTATCTATTTTTATATATATTGTGTTGTGCACAGTTTACGAAATGTATATAAAATAAGGTCCTTATGTACATAAATCCATGTACATATATGTGTATTCAAATTGACAATAAACATGATAAAATTTAAGACAAACAGACTGAATTACTCTGTTTCAAACCTATATAGAATATGTTACAAATGTACATTGGCATACAGCCCAGATACAGATTGTATTTTTCTTGGTTAAGTATCGATATGTAAACAGGGGAATTGTAAAACAGTCTTCAGTGTTGATACATGTAATTTACAAGCATAGTCATGATAGTAGTGTTAATCTATTTGGTATAAAACAGAAAATTCAAATGTCAGTGCAAGCAATGAAAATTAATTCTAATTATATACTTTGATGACCTATATATTGTCAACCAGTATAATCACAGTTAGCATATCTAATTTTAGCGCAAACGCATTAATACACAAAATTGGCCGTTTCGATTTACTCTGTCCTAATTTAAAGGACCAAGTAAACTCAATTTCTACAATAAAACCCACATTTTAGGTAGGCCAAACTTCATATACAATACTGTTATCTCTATTTTAATGCAAATTAAACAAATCAGTACATTTCAGTTTTTAATTCTGTGTAAAATTTCATAAAATGAAAATCTCGCGGAAGGATGTTATCTCCTTTGGCAACTAAACAAGGTGACATCATATACATGTATGCTTTCTGTGTCAAATGTCAGAAAATTATAAATGCCCTGTGGGAATTTATATCTGGTTTTTGTATTATTCTTTGTCATGTTTGTTGCTGTGCCGTGGCAATGACATTGTTGTTACAGGTTTGATAGCTGTTTGTTATCTTCTGCCTATCTTTTACAAGTCTTATATGAATGAACTTGGCCTTTGATCATCATGACAATATTTTCTGATTCACAAAACGCTGAAGAAAACCAGATCTCCTGTAGTTGGTGATCGCAATACTGGTATACCAGTATTGTCCACAATACTGGTATAAAAATTTTGTACCAGTATTGTAACTTTTTTTTTTAAAACAACAATACTGGTACATTACTGATATACCAGTATTGTAGTTGTATTGTTCACTATACTTTAAGGTGTATAATGAAAAATGAATTTTAAGCAAAATTAGATATTGAAGATCAAAGGGAGATTAAATGAACTCAAAAAGATTATAGAGGATAATTGTGAAATCAATTAACAACCAGTTAAAAATAATTACTATACTTGTACAAATAAACAAAAATTATTGTAATTAACTCATCTTATTCAAACAATTGTTAATTATATAAATAATTGCTAATAATTTTATCATATTTCTATATTTTATTTAATTCAATTTAGATAAAATAAAAGCTTTATTATCTGAGATATTATTTAATAAATTCAAGCAAATTATTACAGTCACTATAACACTGTAAATTCAGCATTTACATGTATGCCATCGTATATTTTTTACAGATATTTTAATACATGTATACTAAGATTCTAAGCATTTGTTTGTCTTTTTTTTCTTGTAACATGTATAAATCTTTCACAATAAACATGATAAAAGATATCAATATCTATTAAACATAAAAACTAAAAGTTGCTTAATCATGTTAATAGGGGAACCTGATTATAATCAAATTAACTAGTTTGTCTACATGAATGTTAAGGGTAGTTAAAGCAGTTGATTCAGAACCATGGGCAATACAATTTGTAGCAGATATATCTACTGGTACAAATACTCAAATACTAATACTAGACAAGCACTCCTACAGTAAGAGAGCCGTACAGGTGCTATCTAAACAAGCTTGTAATCTAGTAAGCGTAAGAGAAAGTCCACAGACTGAATACATAAATATCAATATAGGAAGTGGGGGTTGCAGAAATGCCATCTGAAGAAGAAATAAACAATACCAATGTTGATGATACAGAAGCTATAACAGCATTGATGTCAATATAAAATTCACTAAAATATACTATTGAGACTTGGACAGAGAGAGCTGGAAGAAAACATAGAAGAAAGTAAAGAGTTTGTTAAAATGCTGAGACAGTATGGTTCCCTTAAGAAAAAAACATCAGAAGATTCAACTTTCTTTGATTACAATCACAGTGTACCATCAATGGCATCATCAGTTAAACATACAATCATTCCATATAAAATTGTCATGTCATATGTTAATATCATTATGCATATATATGTGACACCTTTGATAAAAGATTAATTACCTATATGTATTGTTTATTTAAAAAAAAACACAATACTGGTACAATACTGGAATACAATACTGGTACAAAATTTTTATACCAGTATTGTGCACAATACTAGTATACCAGTATTGCGATCACCAACTACAGGAGATCCAAATTATGTCACCTTACTTTAAAACAATAAGAAAATGAATATATTTTATATTTTATAGCAATAAACTAAAACACGATACAACACATTAAAAAGGGTGCGAACGTGAAAGGGGAGCAAACGGTCCCGGATTCGTATTTTTTTTAGGAAAAAACACAGCCATAATTTCGTTATGATCATGATGAACCTTAAGTTTGACCCAACTACAAATTACTACAACAAAAACAGTAGCTACTTACTGGTCATGTTTCAAACCTCACTTTGTATAAATACAATATACTTATATCAGTTTTCTATCAGTCAAGAGACTGCATACGCAAAATTGCACCCTTTCCCTAAGATTCCAGGTTTATTTTTAGTATTTGAATAAAGGAAAGATGGTAAATATGTTTGTTCAAAACTTTCCTTTTTCTTTTGTTCAATACATAAGTTCATGTCCGAAGATAAAATGAATCAAAGATATTTATAAATAATTGAATGAGATAACTTGTGGTCTTCTCCAACGGAACCAAATTTCTTATTTAAGACAATTTTATCTCTTTATAAATAATAAAAAATATCTTCCCTTTATTCTTTTTTTAAGGGTACTACCGGTATTGGATTGAGATCAAACAGAGGTTCTTTCGGCCTAATTATCGATGCTCGACGTTTCGGCCATACTACCAGTTCAGCTATAAATGGGGGAAAATATAATTGTTTTTACAGAGAGAAGTCAAGTAACAAAATACAATTCATTTATATATTATTGATAAAAATGTGTATTAATTTATGAATGATTAAATAATATTCGTAAAATGGTAATAAAAAATCATGTAAATTTGTAAGAGAGGCGAAAGAGAATCCGGGTCCGTTCGCGCCCAATCACGTTCGCCCCCATGCACGTTCGCCCCCTTTCACTTTCGCACCTTACACGTTCGCACACAAAGTCCGTTCGCACCCTACACGTTCGCGCCCAATTCTTATTGGTTTTGTGTTTAATAATTTGTAAACGAGTTTTGGTAAGTGTATTGCTATAAATATATATTTTTTCATTGTTTCTAAATAAAGTGAGATTCTGACAAGGTTTTTTTTTGTCATGGTAAATGTATTGCTATAAACATTTTTTTTTCATTGTTTTTAAATAAAGTGAGATTCTGACGACCAGTATTTTATTTTTGTGTTGAATGATTTTTAATCATGTTTAGGTAAGTGTATTGCTCTCTATATATCTATATCTATATATATATATATAAATAATTTTTTTCATTGTTTCTAAATAAAGTGAGATTCTGATACACATGAGATCAAAGGAGCCAAGCTGTTAAAAACAATTATCTTTCATGTTTTTTATTTAAAATCTTCAAAGTTTTACTCAAACCAAGCTAAATACATGCAGTATTTACATTTAAAGCAAGTTAAAACAACCATGACAACAATCATGATTTTTAAACACTCAACAATAACATCATATTAGGCTGTGTATAAATACCAATTAGCAGTAATCATACATAATTAACATTTAATAATTAATCATCAAATCAATTTAAAACAATATTTCATTTAAAAATTCCCGAATTTTTATTTATGAAAATAAAAATATTTTACAAAACATCTAAAAATTTATCAGGTATTTGAATTAAAAAAAGGGTGCGAACGGACCTAGGGGGCGAACGTGTGGGGTGCGAACGTGTAGGGTGCGAACGTGTATTGGGCGCGAACGGACCCGATACCACAATAGATACCAAAGGGACATTCAAACTCATAAATCGAAAATAAACTGACAACGCCATGGCTAAAAAAGAAAAAAAGACAAACAGACAAACAATAGTACACAAAACACAACATAGAAAACTAAAGACTGAGCAACACGAATCCCACCAAAAACTGGGGGTGATCTCAGCCGTGCTCCGGAAGGGTAAGTAGACCCTGTTCCACATGTGGCACCCGTCGTGTTGCTTTTGTAATTACACACCCGTTATAAGTCTAATTCGGGAAAGGGGACGGGATTGTAGTTACGATATTAGGAACATATTCGCTATCATCTGTGAAACGGATAGCGTCTCTAAAATTTACGAAGGGGTGATTTCAACTTCACCACTTGGAACTCTTAATTTGATAGCTTCCTTGTGAGCAGCAAACCTCTATCAAGGAAATCATGATAAGAAATACAAGACCTGGAGTATCGTATCAAATGGGAGATATATCTGAAAAACACCAAGCATTGTGATACATAGATACACAAATTATTTATAATACATGTATTGATATTAAATTTTTCAATAACAGTTTAAAGTTAGGTATTCTAATTTTATGTATATATATATGATAATTATCTACTAGATCATACTCATCATTTATCACTCTGGAATAGATTACATGAACATGTTGATAAAGTTAATGATGGCATCAGCCTTCTCCTCTTGCCACATGCATCACTGTCAATACTATGATGTCGAACATGAGAGGTATCAGGAGAGGCCACAAGAGATCATTAACAGATAAGGGTCAGACAGGACATGTTGGACAGAATCACAAAATAAATAACAACAGTAAATAACAACCAAAGTCAAGGGGAGACATTTCAAATACAATCAAACAAAAACAAGTATATCAATATATCACGGGTGATCCGTGTATTTGGCAATCGCCAATGGCAGTCAACAGGGTTTAAGAACATTTGTTGTTCGACCTGTTAGTCAAATGCGTTTTGTTAAAATATACTTTTTCACTTTTTTGATCTTTTGGAAAATGTTGTTTGTGCTGTATTTAGATCCCTCTAACAAGAAATTTGTTTTGCATGCACACGTATAAAAATTGCGATTTTTATCCAACGCAATCATAGGTTTGAACGTTGTTTTCAATTTAGACTTGAATATATCAATATAAATATAACAATATCAATAAACATCATAGAGAGCAATTTTATGATGCACACAAATCACTGTCCAGTTGTAATGTTTTTTCAGATAAAATAAAAATAAATTACAAAAAAAACTGGGAGATATATTCTCCGTATGTAGGCACTGCTGGAATGTTGCTTCATAAAAATGGAAAGTTCACTATTGGGAAGCTGAAATCATCTCTTTTGTCATAAAGTTTTGTTTTCAACCAACCCTCATTGTCAATTTCTAGATGTAAGTCAAGATATGAGACAGACTTAACTGTATCTGTTGTATCCTTTATCTCAAGTTCGATGGGATAGATAAGTTCAACATAGTCACCAAATTTTGAATTATTTAGTGAGAGAACATCATCTATATAACATATACGGAACAAGAAATAATAGTTATTTAAAAGGGAAGAAGATTGTTGTTCTTACCATGCAGTTGTTGGCGCCCTAGTTTCTCTAACTTAATATGTTTGTTAGGGATGACAAACTGTGAATGTTCTTTTCTCTTGTTGCAAAAACAAGTTGCTTTCTTTTAAAAAGAAAAGCAACACGTGAACCCGAGACGGCTGACTTGTCACCAAAAAATTGTTTTTTGGCTTTTGATTTGAAAAATTAACTGTGAACAGAATAAGATATCGTAATGATGATGTTAAAGCACCTTTATTGAAAATATGTTATTGTGTGTAGATTCTTGTACAAGTCAATTGAAAGCAATGTTGGATTGTATATCATTTTTCTTAAGGAAATCCCGGTTTCTGCAAACCGAATGTCCAATGTAACTTGCACAAACCAATCGCACTATTAATTTAAGCACTCATGCAGTTTGCTTTATAATCTGAATGCATTTATCTTATCTTTCACATCTTTTTATTTTGTTTCCTGGATGTCTTCAATTATTTTCACACTCGTTATTGAAGCTGTCTGTACTCATGGTAGATGTTGTATAGATAAATTTAAAGTATCAATATATATAATCGGCAGTGATCATGTTAGCAAATGGGAAGGGAGACAGGGGCCGCCCCCATATGGAGCTACATCATATGGTCAATGTACATGTATACTTTTAACGGTAAGCGGACAAAAACTGTCACAGGACAAAAATTCACAAGACAGAAAGTCCCAAATTTGATAGGACAAAAGTAACAGAACAAAAAGATTTTTTTTTAAATATTTTTTTTACAAAGATGATTTAATTATATATAGTTCAAGAATATATAAAAATGTTTTTTTAAAGATGAGGGTTTTTTTTATTAAAAGAATAAATTAATGCCACGTGGATATAAACATGTGCAACAATAAGAAAACAACCCAATGCCAAAGATAATTGAAAGACATCTAGAGGTCAATATACAGTCTCAAACAATAGACAAAATGAAAAAGTATATCCAATTGTTGAATTGTATTGTTAAATGTATTTGCAAGATTTAAAATTTTATATCTTTGACAACTTTTTTAGTATGAGGTTTAACTTAACATTTTATAAAATTTTGATTTCATTGTGGCTAATCTGTAAAAAAAAAACATGAATTAGAGAAGCCAATACTATTTGGACATTAATTTGAGAACAACAAAATAGATGTCTATTTCGGGGATATATAATTGGTCATACATGTAGATTTGGAATCTTATTTTATTATGACGTCAGATTTGGGTGTCGACTTCAGGAATGGAGGTTGGTTAGAGACTGGACGTCAATCTGAGTCTTACATATGTATATATATTGATTCAGTTGTGAGGGTAAATAGACACTGATAAGTCTGATAATATTTTATAGTTTAATGTTTGTTCACCTGTTTACTATGATTAGCTGGAAGTATGTTCTTGTTTCAAAAAGAGGGGCACTCAGCATATATTATTAATTTGTGCATGAAGTGACAACTACTTGCTAGAAACTGAATGTTTTGACCACAACTTTGTATGTTTTAACTGGGATACGTACATATAATATAAAAAAAAAATTACATGTCTTTTTCAGGACTTCTGATCCATGTAGTTTGGCATGTTTGTTAGATCATAGAGGTGGTTATGAAGGGCGAATGTTCATGACAGGCCTCTATTACAAAGTAAATCACTGGATTGAGCTTTTTGTCTAAGTGTATTATTAAAGTGCTTTGCTTCGAGCTCAGTTCATTGTTATGCAAATGCATTCTTTGTGAAATAAAGATTTGACAAACAACTCACATCTGCACATGATCTGCTGTAAGGTAAGATGATTAAAACTGTCAGCACAAGGAGTTATTGAAGTAGCATCCTTTCAATGTAAGTATTTAAGGGAAGATTAAAGCATTTTATTTACACTTGAACCAAACATTTTTTGTCCAGAAGCCAAATAAAAAAAGCACAAATTTACCAAACAATGCTACTCGTGCTACTAGCAATATGATGCTAGGTGGTTTTGTAACACTTTTTTTAAACATTTGTGCTGCCTGCTAATGAGTCCTGAGTGTAAATGATTATTCACTTATACATACCGGTAATGTTAGTAAGTATATTTTTTTTAATCCTTT